CTCAGTGAAGCACAGCGGTGAAGAAGGAGGCACTTTCGACAGGTAACAAAGTAGTGAGCTCAGACCGCCAGAAGATATCAAAAGGAAATGTAATCTCGAAGAATCCCTACAAAACCTAGGTGCAGGGCGATAAATGTCACTCATATTCATTGTTTCGCGCGACGTGTGATACATTTCTGGAACTGGTTGCCCAGTTCCGTTGTTCTTTCTGATTCAGTTCAGTGTTTCAAACGAAGCATTGACAAACATTTTTCAGACTTGTGTTTCGATGCAGACGCCATGTTTGACCTCCTTTCGTCGCGTGGTTATGTCACGGCTACACTAGCAACCCTAAAAGACCAAGGCACGTAGTGCTTTCTTTGTGCTTATATATCGGTATTTTGTTTGCTTATTACTAAATGACAATTGATGTGCATTCACACAGACCCATATTCGGCATGGGTCTGTAGCAACCCAAAAGATATTTCTTGTTTTTTGTGCAATTTTATTACTCAGTCATAGAATATTGCTTTTTGTTTATACAAAATTGTATTACATAAACAATAAACATACACAACAAATGAAATGTAACAAGAAATGGCAAATGTTTAAATATCTTCTTCTTCATCAGCGGGTTTTGGCGGAGCCAATGCCTGAGCTGCTCTTGTATGGTCTTCTATATATTGCTCAGGAGGTAATGGTGTTTCTGGGACAGTGTGCACCTTTGTAAGTAAATCTAAATATTTCTGCATTTTTGTTTCCATAGGCTCCTCAGATTTCTGAACTGCCATGCATTCATTTGCGAATTGTAATGTCTCAGATCTCCCAATACCTGCAGTAATCCCTTTGACCAAAATGCCACTCATCACGTGACGCATTCGGGGAGATAAATGTAAACGTGCAGCCTGTGCTGCAAGCCCTTCAAACTCCATGGAAAAACCATTCAAAGCACGGTATCCACCATCCGCATGTGCAATGTAATAAGGAACAATGGAACAATGGTTTATGACGGGGATAAAAGCAATGCTTGACAGGTCCCGTAGGATGATGAGAATTAACATCGTAAAATTAAAAAATCGTATCGATGAAAGTACGTGTGAAATGCATGACTCACCAAGGGATTGGAGATGCACATAAACAAGTAATCCAATAGGAATTTTAAGTGGATTCCGATGGTCGCACGTTATATCACATAGTACAATCGTGTCAGAGTTTCGTCAAGGCGTTTTTTGAAAAGGGATAAGGTGGGAGCGTTAATTACATGTTCTGGAAGGGCGTTCCAAGGTTGTGACACTCGGAGGGAGAAGAAATTGCGTCGACATTCCAGTCGACTGTACTGTGTGATCAACTTAAACTGATGACCTCTTAGGGATGCTTTTTGACTACGTTTCAAAAGGAAATGACACGTGTGGTTGGGGGTTCTCAGTATCCGGTACACCAATATGAGATCGCCTCTCAAACGACGGTAACGTCTACTGTATAAGTTAAGAGTTTTCAGCCTGAGTGGGTAGGGAAGGCTGGAAAGACCTTTGACGTATTTTGTCGCTCTGCGTTGTGCAGTATCGAGTGCAGTGAGGTGGCACTTCTGCCATGGTTGCCACGCTTGAATAGCGTATTCTGCGTGCGGTCTAATAAAAGCGCTAAGCATTTTCGGAAAGATTGAGTCGTCAAACTTCCCAAACGCTCTACGCAGAAGGCCAAAGTGTTGGTTTGCTCTCTTGGAGGCCTTTTCGGTCTGCATTAAGCACCCAAGATCTTGTACAAGCACGCCAAGATTGCACTCATGAGAGGTCCGCTGTAGAATGTCAGGTCCTAAGCGGTAGTTATACGCACTCTGATGGCGTATGCTCAAGATTTTGCACTTTGTGGTGTTGAACTGTAGCATGTTCTCGTTTGACCACTTGTATGCTTTGTCCAAATCATCCTGCAAGGCTGTGTGATCCTCTCCTGAAGCTATGGCACACCATATCTTTAGGTCATCTGCAAACAGCAGAAAGTTGGAAGATAGTGCAGCTGCAAGATCATTTATGAAAACAATGAACAAGCGAGGCCCGAGTACCGAGCCCTGAGGTACGCCACACTGAACTTCGATTGGTTCAGACAGGGTATTTCGGACTCTCACATTCAGGTGACGTTGAACGAGAAATTCGCCTATCCATCCTAGAATAGGATTGCCGATACCACAATGCTGCAGCTTGTTCAGTAAAATCCGATGGTCCAGTCGGTCGAATGCCTTAGAGAAGTCCAAGTAGGCTACATCCACTCCGACTTCGGCGTCCACAGACTCTGTCCAGTTTGAACGAGCAATCAGCATATTAGTTGTGCAGGACCTGCCTTGGCGAAATCCGTGCTGCTCCGGAACGAGGATGTTGTTTTTCTCCAGGTCCTCCATGAGAGCCTCAGCTACAATGGACTCCATGATCTTGGAGATTACCGGAAGAAGGGTAATCGGACGAAAATTAGTTGGATCTGCACGGCTACCATTTTTGTGGATTGGAGTGATGATCCCGTGCTTCCACATCGTTGGGACGTGCATCTCGTTAAGGCATCGCTGAAAGAGTGTCGCCAAAGGTTCAGCTAAGCTCGTGGCGGAAACTTTCAGCGCTTTCGGCCGAATGCCGTCCGCACCCGGGGAGCTAAATTCGCGCAACGACATCAACCGCTTCAATACAGCTGCAGTTGTGAAGGAAATGTGGTTAAGGCCTGATGGCGGAATAAGTTGCCTAGATATGGTGCAGGATGTTTGCACACACTGGAGACCTTGCTAGAGTAGAGGTTGGGATGATGTGGGAAACAAAGGTGAGCGCTAATCCTCCAGGTGCAGTCTTATCATCGTATGCCATTTTAGATTCACCTGTTAAATATATGGAGCCCACATGATACCGAACAACGTTCTTTTTGAGCTTACAATACAGATTGAATGTCTCAAGGATTAACTGGATCTGTGGCCTCACTAGGTAAGCCCGTAAAGAGCTATTCATGATGATTGAAAAAACTTGATTACAGAAAGCCAATTTGTGGCATCCAGCTGGCAGTGTTTCTAGCCTGACACGTATATCATCGTGCCCAGTATAACTGAACTTGATTCGGCCAATTGTAATAGCCTCTAACGGGCTTCCCAAAAATCCCAAGTACTTTCAGGGTTGATGCCCAATGGCCGAACGTATGTATTGCAGTTTTGGATGGGGTTACAGTGGTCTGTTCATGTATGGCATTTTGCGCTTTAAGGAGGGCAGATGGCAATGGGTTTTGTTGCCTGTCGATGTGTGGTGGTTTGTATTCCAGAAATTCACTTTAGTTAACAAGACCATGGACACAAAGGTGTATAATACATCGACATTTTTCGTGATTAGATCCTTGACTTTGGTCATAAGCTCCGTTGTTACGAAATCACCGGAAAATCTCCAGTCCCCATCAGGGGTACCCAACTATTCCCATCTTTCCTTTTCGCTATAAGCCCACTTGAGGCTACTGCAAATGCTGCATTCACCACATGACTTTCCGAATATGCTGCATCCCAGGGTTCACAATAATGTTTGTATGTAAGTGCAGCAACTGTAAATGCAAACAGGTTCTGGTCTAATTTTGCGTAATAGTTCGGCACCACAAGTCTGAATTTCTCTGGAATTCTTGAATCGATTCCTGACGCAATGGTTGCCACAAAATCCCCATCTGGGTGGGAATTCTTTGCGATGTTCAAATAAGCTTCTTTACTTATCCCAACACTGCAAGTTATTAATAAATTCATCAGAGTATCTATATGCATCACTCCATGGAGGTAAAACTGGAACTGAGCTTGATATATCAGTATCAGGTTCAGAAGTATCGTTACTTGCTCGAATTAGGGACAGAAATTGTCGGAGCAATGAACAGTATTGAGTCGTCAGGTATGAGACTGCGAAGCCTGAGAGAATTGACTGAAGCGAGTTTGCAGGGGATGCTTAAAGACGTAGTATCGTCTCGTAATTTCCAACAACGTATGTCGACCACAAGGCCGAACTTGCTGAGAAACTCGATTCCGATGATGGGCTTTTGCACATCGGCGATGTTAAAAATGAAAGGGAAGTTACGCCGTAATCCGAGACTCAAAGTAAGTAATTTCTGGCCGTAGTTAGCGATTTTAGTCTGATTAGCTGCCGTAAGCATTGGACCAGCTGGTTGCAAGGGGCGTTTTTCCAGAGAACGGGGGAGAACGCTGACTTCTGCACCAGTGTCAACCAAGAAGTGAAGTTTGGTTGTGGAGTCAAATACGTACAACAAGCGGCTAATAACCTGGCCAGCGACAGCTGCCGTCATTACTGGCTGGCCATGTGGTTTCCCGACGTAGGTGTTGAAAAGGCTTTGGGGTGTTTACACCCTGGGCGGCACTTACGCGCTGCGTCTCCGAAGCGGCGATAAAACTGTCGTGTACGAGAGCTGCTAGAACGTCTGGATCGAGAAACGGATCGTCGCGAGGGAACGCGGTCGCGTCTGAGGTGGGACAAGGTGAGCTCTAAATTAAAAAGTCTTTCGTTGATTGTATCAAGTAGCATGGTTCCGGAGAGGTTGCCTGAGCTAGTCTCAATGACGTGTGATACCGACGTTTTAATGTAGCGTTCGTGACCTTTATCAGCAGCTTCTGCCAGTTTGTTTAGCGGAATATGGTCTTCGAGAACAGCTAAAATAGCCGTGGTATTCGCGGGAAGACAATTGCTCCACAATTGGCGGAGAACGGAATCATCCAGTACGGAAGAACCGACGAGGGAACACATGTGTCGGAGTAACTGAGACGGCGTTCTATCTCCAAGCTCAACGCCAGAGAGCAACTGTTGAAGGTGTGTCTCATCTGAGGCTGTAGTGCGGTTTAATATGGCTGCCTTATCATAGGGGGACTCTAAGGGCATAGGATCAAGGATGTCGATGACCTCTGAGGCGATGTTGGACGGTAGGTGACCAGTCACATATGAAAACCTTGTGGACTGGGATGTAACCTTACGAAAACGGAAAACAGCTTCTACCTGAACGAACCAAATACGTGGGTTAGAAACGTCAAATAAAGGTAAAACGAGTCCAAGAGAATGTTCCGACACATTAATGGCGGGCGCGTGATCAGTCCTTGTGAATCAAAAGAAGGAAAAATATACACAAAAAATAAGTAAAAATGCGGGGTCACCAATTATATGTAGGAACCGGTAAAGGAGAATACTCAGTCAGTCAGGTTTACCTCACATATGAAATATCCTGATGCGCCTAAGCGTCGGACGACCGTAAATCGCGCGGTATGCCGAAGTATACGTGTACTTAGAGTCCGATCGTGAATAGAGCAGGCAGCGACGCGCACGATCACAACAATCCAGCGGCAACCAAGGTAGAACCACGGAAGACGAGCTCGAAACGAAGTATATATATATATATATATATTATTGTTAATTAAAACAAAGCTGTACAACGACTGCAGCAAAATAGGCTAACGTGAAAGGGCAAAATGAGCAAATTATTCACAGTCACTACAGTACTCCCCCCTTAGAGCGTGCACTATGGAAACGCTTGACAAGGTGCCTACGGAACGTAAACACAGAGTACGCGTCCACCAAGTGCTGTTGAACATGAAATATCGGTGCACAGAGAACAGCGACGTACACCTTCCCTCCACGTAGCTACAATGCCAGTGACGCTCGCAGCTGCTCAGCTCCCGGTTATGCTTTCGTCCACGGACGTCACAAAATCCTGAGAGAAATGTAGCACTGTAAATGAACTAGAAATACTTTAATCTTTCCTGAGCGTTCCAGTACCATTTGATCCACGGAGGGTTGCCTGTTCGCGTCGCCTAGGCTGGGTGCCACGGCTCTATAGGAATTCCTATAGCAATTTCTAGATTATTGAATAAACAGTAAGAATAAACAGCCCTCCAACTTTCTGAACAACCCATGTTTAAGTTAGACAACCTATTAGT